TTTTGTAACTGTTTTAAAGTTGATATAGTATATGTATATAGTCGCACCCGTTCTTCTGAGATATGAATTAGGAAACCAAAAAAGTACAAACTTTTGAAACTCGTGGAGAATATTTATAACTTTAGCAATAGCACTTAGGATCAGTTCTTTTCCCATATCTTGTCTCGAAATATTGTATATATTTTGCGAGTAATGTAAAATGAAAGCATTTATTTACTTAAAACATTAAGGGCATGAAAATGTGTCATTAAAAATACGAATTACAAATTTGCCCCAAAGCTGTTGTGCACTGAACAACATTGACACTCCCACGTTACCATTGCGAAGGGAACTAAGCAAACCTCGAAATCGAGACGAAGTTCGCATTAAACAATAAGAATATCTCGCAGCGGGGCAAGTTCGTAATTTTTTACGATCTAATAAAATGAAGGCAGCCATATTTTGGCTTGGACCAAGGAAAATATTACGTTTTAGGGAATTGAAACACTTTAGTAAATCTGCTCTGCTATCTCTTTAACCAGGCCGAGTAGAAAAATTCCACTTCATGCTGTCGTTTATCACCAATAAAAAAATTCGAACTTGTATTAGGTAGTTAGTAGTGAGGTTTACGGACGTTTCGTCAGCACGAGTAACTTGTATCTTCACAGGATGTTTGCTTGCATTTGAGATACAATCCGCTTGTATTTGCACGGCCCGAGATTCCATAAGTTTCAAGCAATTTCAGCGGCAAGAAATTAACTGTTAACCCATTGTGGTTTTACTCTTGTAAATAATCTAAAATGTTCGTTTATAGCGGTAATAAACCCAGAAATAATCCTCAAATATCCCCGGGTAAGAATACGTTCTTTAAACACTGTTCGCACAAGCAAACGTCGAAAGTTGGCAAATAAATTCGAACGATCGGAGTCAGTGGCCCTTTTCCAAAGTTCCACTCCAATATGTCCATTGGGAGTCGTTAGGGTAGATCCATTCATTCCACAGGAAACCTATAAGAAACTGCGAGAGCGTTTGAAACGCCTTTGACACATCGGTTTATAATAAGTTAAAAGCTTCAGATAAATAGACGTATTGGGGTAAAACTTCGAGTCGATGAAAAGGAGTTTTAAAGCAGTTCCAGGGAATTTGATCAACCGATAAATCATTGCATGCAGCGCCACGAAAAGAAAACGAAATCTAACGCCAAACATTCAAACGTCCGTCTGCATTAAAAGATAATTTATAATAGACGAACTCTGCTTCACAACCCTACTATGTCAATGTCATGATCTATTTCCGAGTTTCGAGAATTCGTGTCCTTCATCAGTGTGTATACCAATCGCATAGTAAAAGTTAGAGATAAATGGTCGCGATGGGATCCTAACTTTCATCCCAATACGTGAGTCAGAAAAGAACTCTAACAGGTCTCTAAGTCTGTCATTCTCATAAATAACTTTATCAACATTTAAGTGAATTAATAAAGTTCAGCGAAACTCCGCCATACCGTTTCAAGTGACAATTTGTTTTAATTTCGGCTCCATCGGGCACTATAGGCAATTTTATTAGATAAAACGTCGCAGTAAGTTAAAATGAAAACGAAAAGCTAAAAAAAAGTTCGGAAATAATCAAGTATTGATAACATTGAAGTTACGACGGTTGCAAG